GCCATATGTTGCCATCAAGGATGGCGACGAAAAACGTTGCAACGTGTGAGGACAGGTCCGTCGCTTCGACATGGCGCTTCGACATGCTTGCTTCATGTTTGCACGACAGGTCCGCAAGGGAATCCAGAAGGTGTTGACGGCGAATGGAGCACCTGGAGAGGCCTGTAAGAGTGTCAGGGTGTGTTGAGAAGAGTTCAGAAGTAACATGAATATACATGAATTAACTTTATACTTATATCCAGCTGGATGATTGACAAATCATGAAAACATGTTGCATGTTGCCATGACATATCGTGACATCAAGCAGTCAGTGACTGACCCCTCCTTGTGACAGACCACCTTCACGCGCTTCTGGAACATCTTCCCCAAGGCCTGGGGTGACGTCGCTGCCGCGACGTCCGTCGCACCCGAAGTCACCGGAGACCGAGGTCGGCCGTGTCGCCGCGCCCAGACCCGACGCCAAGGGCCCGAGCGCCTTTCCCTCGCCCCGGATCAAGGCGAGGCGATGCGAGCGCAGCGGATGTTCGGGCTGGGTAGAGGGAAAGAACGATGTAGAGGGGAAGTCTTTTGAGGCAGGCAATGTTCTATCCCATTTCGGCTGGTGCATGCTGGTGCTATAGATTTTGTTGATATTGTGTTGGTGCATGCTGTTGATTCCTGTTCTCTCGCCTGTTATTACTCGTTGCTGGAAATGATTATTGAACAGGCAAGGCTTCTACGATCTTGTCAACAGCCAGGATGCATTTCAGTTACGAGGTCTTTCGAACAACCAGTCCACAGCTAGTTCATGCTAGTTCAATCCATGTCAAAGATTCCTGTGTTTTTTTGGTTAAACCCTTCAAGTCTTTTTTGTGTAAGGCAATTGCCTGCAAAAGCCTCAATCGGTATTTCAAGGACAAAGACCTTCGTCATGTTTACGTGACTTTTGTGCTTCCAGAAAGGCTGAATATGTAAACAAAAACCCTTTTGATAGCATGTTTTGTTGGGTGATCTTGCAAGTGTTTGTAATTTGACGCCTCCTTACAAAGAAGGACTCTTCAACAACGTCCTCCATTCCACCTTCGCTCTTCGCGCACGAATCGCAGGTGCAGCACGAATCGCAGAACTACCTCACGCGGAACATGTCCGTGACTTGGCTCTTCCTCGGCTTCCTCCACCTGGGCGACGCAGAAGCTCAGGCGCTGGCGGCGATGCTGCGGGAGAACCGGAGCCTCACGTGGATGAACCTCTGCAACAACCGCATCGGGGAGACCGGTGCACAGGCGCGGAAAAAAGAAGCGCGATGGTGGAGGTGGTTGGCTTTCCTTGTGGACAGCGGGTGGGTAGATCTGAGGTTTGGACTTGGTGCCCCAAGCAAAGAGCTATTTATAGGTATTATATCGGCCGTGTAGCAGCAGCAAGCTTTGCAAGGGTTTGGATCGATGATTGGATGACAAAAACTCCGCTGTGGCTTTCCAACCCCCCATTATGCACAGCACAGCGCAAACGCAAGGAATAGCCCAAGCGCATCCATACAATCTTAATTCCAGTGTCGGTTCTAATAAGAACAGCCATGCGGAACAGAACACCAAACTCATGATTGCACAGCAGCAAGCAAGCTTAGGGTTTGGATGCATGGATGACAGTAATTGTAACTCCCCTTTGGCTTTCCAAAGTCCCCCCCCAATAAACAGGTGAAGACTTGGACATTCCTGGGACAGCTAGCCACCGTGACACGAGTCCTCGCACGTCATGCAGGCTCTCCTGGACAGTTTGCGAGAAAACCGCCAGATCGTGTACCTGAATTTGGATGCAAATCGCCAAATCAGCGCAGAGGCTGATGGGTCACCTGCAGTTGTTTCGTGGGTCACCTGCAGGTCATGTCGGGGATTGGGGAGTGTCCCAGCATGGCACAGGAACAGGTGGACTTCGTTTGGATACACCTGAAATTCATCATGGTGGAAGTGGTTGGCAAACGGCCCAGATGTCGGATGACCATGAGTTCTCCGAAGATCAAACAGCATGGTTTTCACGAGCAGCATGATCTTCAAGGAGTGTACCTTTCACCTGCATGATCGTTCTATATAGAAAACCCTGGGAGCCCATGTTTCCCTGCCCAGCAGGTGCCCGAACGGTGACCGTACGGTGACGGTCGTCCGTACCCGGACCGCCGTCCGTGGATCCGCATCGTCGTGGCCCGAACGGTGACTGCGGATCACTCTTTCGCGGAACGGTGCGTCGTGAAGCCCACCGGACATCGGCGCTGCCGTTGGGGTTTGGGCAGGTCCTGAAGGAGATTCAGGAGATTGTGGCAAGCAACAAGGCACAGGTGGCGCAGCGGCTGTGCTTCCGTGGTGACGACATTGTGATGCCCTCCAGATTGGAACCCGAACACTTCTGTGTGGTAGAAGAATCTTCCTTCTGGGGGTCCAATTCAGCGTCCATGTTGAGGGGGTTAGACAACTCCAAGCATGTATATAACAGTAGTATAAGCCGGACCTGCAGATTCCTATAGGATAGATGTTTGTCGATTTGATTGATGCAGGCAGTGCAAGAAGCAAATACAAAACAAGAGGCTTCTGAGCCATTGCTGATTGAACGCGTTTGACGACATTATCGACTGAAGCCTGAAACCGAAGGCACAAAGACCTTTAATGGCTTCTGGCTTCAGCTATTGCAGCCATTGTGCTTTGACGTGACAGGGATCAACCCTGATACATCGCGAGAAGCACCAATTCGAAGGAGTCGCAGAGTCCTTGCTGCACCAGTCAGACTGCCAGCCAAGAAAGACCGCCAGACCTGCAGCCGGACCTTCAGTGCTAGTGAAGTTTGGTAGAGAATCAATTAGTCAAGAGATGTCAAGAGTATGGACCGAAACCAAGTCCGGTGGTTTTTGGACACTCCGACTCACGTCGCCTCAGAAACCACCTAAGGCAATGGACACCCCGACACCTCAGAAGGAAGGGTCCTGGAAGAGTATGGACCGAACTTTTGGACGTTCGAAAGCCATTGACAGATCGGAGCTAGTGGCAACGGTCTTTGAGACGGCTCAAGCGTGTCACGACATTCATTTTCGTATCAGGAAGTAGAAGCCTTTTTGCTGCGAAGGAACGCGGAAGAAAACACACTTCCAGGGTAAAGGAATACGTTCCTGCCCTCCAAGTGCCAAGTGGCTTGGTGGTGGGGGGAGTTCTTGATGAACCTACACATCTAATGATATATAATATATGAATGTATATTATATGATATCGCCACTCACTTGGTGAAGCGACGCGGATCCATCCCTGCATCGCCTGGTTTGGAACTTCAGGTCGATCGTGGTCTGGAACAGACGGTCTATCAGTCGGAAGGAATTCAGGTCTACCGTTTATTCGCTTCAAACAATGGCCAATTGCTCTTACTGTTTGCGCCCCCTGGCAGTTGTTAGATGTTCCACACTTAGCTGATGGCACCATGAGACCGGACCTGGCCGATAACAGCAACACAACCTGCTTTGGCCGATGTGGGGGTGACCCAGTGGAGGAGAACGAACGCAGTGTCTCTGGTCGGAGTCCGAACCCAAGATGCTTGGGTGCTTGGGCTTGACACCAAATGTGTAGCCAGCAGCTAGCAGGGTTGACCCTTGGGTTTGACCATGTTTGACCGTGTTTGACCTGTGATGTGTTCATCACGTTTCACCAGAGGTCTTCAAGTTCTCCTAGAGTTGTCATAAGGCTTTTGGACCAGGCTTTATGTCCATTGCAATGTAAAGCGGTCCCCCAAAATGCGGACACTTCTTTAGGACGGTTTCAATGAACCTCCCACCTTCGGAATCAATGGGACTTGTCCTGTTCGACGTATATTTGTTGAGATTATGCGGAGTGTTCAGATCATTTCTTGGAGCTCATGGAGATCCATCTTGGCCATAATTCTCCTCGTCCATTGATCCACAGTACGAGAGCAGGAGGGAGCTGTGGACGTCCATTCGCACCGTCACATTGGAGATCAAAGCCAACTCTCCAAGAATCCCTCGCATCGCCCGGCGTATTGTCCATTCTCCATGTTCGGGCCCCGTAGGTCGTGGGACTCGAACCGCCGGAACACGGAAAACCCGCCTGAGCTGCGGAGGCGGAGTTTTCCCTGGCGCGAGTGGTGAAGTCCTTGGCCAAGAAGAGGAGAGCGAGTGGTGAAGTCCGTTGTGCGAGAGCGAACTGAACTGGTGCATGACTGGTGTGTGGGTTGAACGATTCGTTTGTTGAGCTGAGTGGTTTGACAAGTTGGCGGGGTTCCACATAGTTTTGGGGGGAGTTTGTGTGGATGAGTAGCTGACTTTAAGATAAACAAATCAAAGATGGATATCTATTGTTTGGTGGTTTGACATTGCATCGACAGCATGTTGCCGTGTCATATGATGTCATACAGCCTCCCGTAACTTCATATAATTATATATGTTTTATCATTTTTTATTACATGTATATTTTGCAAGCCAACACATAGCCGGTTTCAGTTGACACTGATTGAAACAGTCGGAACATGTCTCATGTTTCAGAGAATAGAAAAACTGGTTTCTGGTGGTGAGTTGTGTTTGTTTAAATCGACGTCCTCGTTGCCTGTGGAGCTCTTTGGGCAGCAAAACAACACCCCCATGGCGTTAAGATGAGACACGATTTCAACGAGTTTCTTGTTGAGACACCATGTTCAAACAAGGTTTGAAGATCTTTGAAGAGGAAATGCACACTACTTTTCTTGTTGTGCCCGCTAGTCCGTTAAGTGTCTGGTGTTTATTCCGGTTGAGCAGATGTCATAAGAAGACAGCCGCTTTGGCATGCTCTGGCGGACTCCAAGGTGGAGCAAGATGTGTTGACCCCAAGTGGATCAACCAAAGAGGCGAAGAGGCGAGGCCGGGCTGGGAGCTGCAGCAGTCCCGCCATGCCCCTGCCGCGCAAGCATGTTGCTCAAATGTTTTCTTTTTTGACCGGGTATGGCCCAAGAGTTGTTCAGAGACCTGCAAAGCCTGGGTCTCAAGGTCCCAATAGTTCCAAATGATGTCGCAAGAAGGCAATGCTACATGCTGTTTGCCTCTCTTTGCAAGCTCTTCCAGTGAAAGTGATAGTGAAGAAAAAGAAGATTCGGCTGAAGACGTGGTTGATCTATGTAAAGACCCATCTAGATGTCGGGTGGATGGGCTGCTGGACTCTGGCATGTTGAAGGAATACACAACTAGCAGCGGCACCGTTGACTGCTCTAAGGCAATCCCAGTGTACGTTGATGTGTCTCCACAGGAGCTGAAATCGCTTGATGATGGAAAGGAGGAATTTGCAGTCGTCTTCGTCCTGAAGTTTTGGTGGCTAGATCGGAAGCTGAAAGACTTCCAGTCCAAGCTCACGCTTGAAAAGGAAGATGAAACAAGTGGCAGAGTCTACCTCCAAGAGATTGATGTCGTTGTCAGAAGTCTTGACAAGGATGGCACGTTGCAATATGAGGAATTGCCCTTGCAACAGGTTCCGCGGGTGTTGAAAGCCACCAAAGACATGTACACATATTTGGAGCCTCCCAAATGGGAGCACCACTTCTTTCCGGACTTCAGCTTCATCAATCAAGAAACCACAGATGAGCAGGTCAAAACAAAAGTCCAGCAGCTTGTTTGGTGTGACAAAGATGGTGCCCTTGTACATTATAAGGCGAAGTACGACACCATTTTCCAAGAGTTCGTGGAGCTGCATGCCTTTCCCCTAGACCGTCAACTGTGCCGCATCAAGCTCACAGCAGAGATGGGTTTGGACCAATTCCAGTTCATCACACTGAATTCGAACAGAAAACTTGCTAGGCTTTGTGACATGTGGGAAATGCCTGAAGACCTCGGACGGCCTGGGTGGCCATGTACCGTGTACGTGCGGCATCCCGATACCTGTTTACAAGATCCTGTGACACCTCGGTCTGTGGATGAGAAGGTGCAACAAGGGCATTCCACTAAGGTGACCCAACGATCTTTGGTCAATGTCGTTCTGCACGTGCAACGCAAACCCTCCTTCTTCGTACACAGCATTCTGCTTATGGTTAGCCTGGTCAATGCCATTAGCCTTTGCGCTTTTGCCCTTAAGGTAGACGATGCAGGGAGTCGACTTGGGTATTTGAGCACATGCTTTTTGGCAGTGCTGGCCTATCGCTACATTATCAATGACTCTTTGCCAAAGAAGTCTTATATGACTGCTGCAGATTGGTTCATCACGCTGGCAAGCTTTTATCAGACGTGGTTGTGCTTCGAGACTGCTTTTCTAGCATTTTGGTGGTCACACTCAGACGAGAACATACAGCGGACCATCGAAATATGCGATTGGGCTCTAGGCAGTTTCACTTTCATTGCATGGTTGCTGTTCATTTTGTTCTATTGGTATCAGTGGCGAATCAGCACGTGGCGCCCATCATGGCAGGAAGTTTACCAGAAAAACCAGGAGCCGTACTGCCCGCTGGAGAAGTGCGACAGTTGTCAAAGGAGCTGGTTGGCGAAGCAGTCCGCACATCTCAGGCAGAACAAGACATGCCCAAAGTGTCAAGGAAGGGTCCAGACGACCTATTTGACCCCGCTGGACCGTGAGAAGCCTCTCATCCCATCGCTCCGAAATCGCGGCTTTGGGAACGAAGTTGAGAGCTATCTTTTGGAGTTCGGTTAAAACAAACGCCAGGCGCAAAGTACGTCTGGCCGAGCCAGGTGCAGTACATACTCCTGGCTGAGAAAGCCACTGCCTTGCGCAGTAAATGCGGGAAAGGTGCGATGCTGATTTATGTGTGAAAAATGCATGTTGTGTTGTTCTTGGCATCACAGACATGGCCTGTTAGCCAAGAGATGACATGGTGATGACCGCATTGCCACTATACAGATAGATAGACCGGAGTGCTCTTTGGATGAGATCTGTGCGTGCTGGTTTGTCACTATGTTTAATACATGTGTGGGAGGCGCTGGCGGGGATGCAAGCCTCACGTGGATGAATCTCTGCAGCAACCACATCGTTAACCAGGGTGCCCAGGTGGGTAGAGCGGGATGGGCGAAGTGCTTCTTGTGGGTTTCGTGCTGAGGACAAATTCATCAGTCGTCTTCTGTTGTCGACAGCTCTTGCAACACAACATGAAACAACTGGAAAGACCACGGTGCTCGAGGCACATGCCTCGACCACGCAAGCTTTGGACGTTTGATGTTTTCGGATGGTTGGAACTCTCCGGTGCCTGGGCTTTCCGGTGCTTGGTCACCCACAGCCTTCGCACGTCCCCCAGCGCCGGCTCCGGTCGCATTTGCAGGCTCTACTGAAAGGTGTGCGAGAAAACCCGCTAGCGATCACCTACATGAATCTGGATGCCGATCGCAACATCAGCCCAGAGGCTGGCTGGACCTGGGAGACCTTCCAACTGGAACGCGGAAACGGTCAGAGTGTGTTTTCGTTGGCCGGCGAAGGCGGGGGCGCCATTCGTGGAGCAGGTCTTGGAGATGCAAGAGATTTCCGTTCGGCCTCCGTGGTCGTACCGAACCTGACGAGAAGGTGGGACGACCGGGGCCCGGGTGCCAGGGTCGGATCCAGTCATACCGAACCTCAGGAGGTACGAAAACGGAGGTGGAGGGATTGTCATCTTCGCATCGTTTGGCTGTGCAGATGTTTTGGTGTCTATCAAAGAGGTCTCCAAGCAGAGAAGACGCAGTGAGATGCTCCTGCGGCGGAGATGAAGGGAGAATGTTTCATGCCCAGAGGCTCATGGACCCCAAAACTGCTACATGTTGGTTCGGTCCAGTTCACCCTGGTTGTGAGGGTCAAAACCCTAGCGAACGGGTTGGGTTGAAACATTGAAGCCTTTGGGTGGTTCAACACACTGCAGATGGTGCAGTTTCATGTTTCTCCGCCTCGCCGCCTCTCCGCTGTGTTTTGACCGTGCCTTGCATGGCCTCGAACCGTCGGGTAAAAGGACGACCGTGCCGGGAGTGAGGCCGCCGAGTGAGGCCGGATGGACGGTTGGTATTTGCAGAAGAGCCATCAGCATCATGAAAGTTGGTGGATCATCTACATCATCAACCCCTGCGGCCCATTGATGAGAGTAGAAGGTATCGACATAGATAGATGTTGCGCCCTTACTTACCTGAGTTGTGCAGTCTGTGTCAGGAACCTGGAAGTAGAATTCCGCGAGGATACTAGTAACGTAAGACATCAAGTTCCAGGATGTTGCAATAGCATGTGGCATGTGTTTGCTAAGGATTCCCAGGATTGTGAGGGATCTACAGTACAGGATATATATTTGACAAATCAAATTCCCTGGTTAGGATGATGTCAGTTTGATGACGTACGGGATGATTGGCGACTTGAGAAACCAACAGGGGCGGTATCCTGCACTGACTGCGCTGACGTGGTCGCCCGTTTGGGATGACTCTGGACAGGCCGCATCACCTGGAATCCATGGATGAGTGCAGAGACCCCTGAGGCAGGAAGATCACAGCAGCTCTCCGCTGCTTCTGCTGCCGCGAAAAAATCAGTTAACAGAGTTCATGAACTCGAAGAAGGGGCTAAGGAAGGTCCTATATGAATTAGCTGTGTAGTGGCTGACATATCTAAAGGCATTCCCAGACAGGTCTCATGTGTCGTAGCAATCAGCACCATGGCGATGCTGCGGCGGCCTCCGCGCCGCCCATCATCCGAGCTTTGAGGCCATGGAGGGGAAGGATACTGTGAGGGAGGTTGCGAGGTTTGGCGATCTCAAAGGAACTTTGAGTGAAGGAGAAAGTACAAATGACTCATCAGATCTCATCAGTCAGTGCAATTTTCATGTAACTCTCGGAGTGTGACTATCAGATGCCCAGTTCACAAGACCTCGCTTTCAAGTGCTGAAGGCTGATGGGGTCGCAGTGCCTGACCAGAACCTTCTGAGTCACAAAAAGGGTCAGAACTGCGAGCGTGGCACGAAGTCCTTGTCACTGCCCAAAGTGATTGCTCAAAGTGGACACTGTGCTGCTTTGCTGGGGGCAAGGCTAAAATATAAATATATGCTATAGTTTGTACCAATTTAATACCTGCCATAAAAGGCTCTAGGGCTCACCTGAGTTCACAATCTTTACGGAACCTGAGCATCCGCGGTGGCTTGTGTGTATGACGCAAATCGCATTATGCTCCATCAAATTTTTGTTTTTCTGCCAGTTCCGGTTTCATGACGCTGTTTCACTAAATACAGAGGTTGGGGTGATCATGTCTTTCCGAAAGCCACTCGTTCCAGCACTGAGGATTCCAGTGATGTGCGCACCCCTACGCGCCGTGAAGTTCGGCCTGCTCTTGCCGCAGCGTCGATGGAAGGTTCAGTCTCGTTGGAGTAGATTTCTTCAAAACAAATCGGCTCAGAGTGAAGAGACATTGAACTTGGTAGTTTTTGCTCTATGATTGGCCCGGGCTCGGTTTTTTTGGGTGTTGCAGCCAAAGATACTACGATCTATCTCCCATGAGCCCTGCACATCTGCAACGCGCTGCGCAGCCGCCACATGTGGGGGTAACCCAGAATCACTGGACCGGTCGAGGTGACCGTCCGAGAACGTCTGCAGGGTGAGACCTCGCAGGTCTGCGGATCTTGGCACTTTTCACCAGAGAACTCTGTAACATGTGCATCATTCAAATGGACCCCCAATTGTACAGTTACTGTATATTAAACGGAGGGTCCGACTGTAGCAGTCTTATCCTATGTCAGAGGGGGGGCGATAGAGTTTGGAGCGTCCAGCAATAGCACCAACTTCAAATCATGTGTTGGGTGCTGGGGATTTGAGGCCTGAGCTGCCAGAAGTGGAGTTCTCACGGCGCTTGGTGCAGAAGTCTTTGGCCAAGAAGAGGAGAGCGAAGGGATGGTTGGTCGGTGTGTTGTTTGGCTGACTGGTTGGTGGGTTGCATGATTTGTTTGTTTAGCTGAATGGTTTCGTGGTTGGTAGGTGTATGTCTGCCTAGACACCCCTTGGAAGCTAGTAATGATCCACTCAAGAAAGGACCAATAGAAGATGGATCTCCATTTTTTCTAGGTGGTGTTGAACTTTGTTCATCAACAATTGCATGTTGCTGCCCTTTTGCGTCATGTCTTCAATGGTGCAAACCTTGTGGTCGAGATACTGGAAACTTCACAACATCGGTCCTGACGCTTCAATGCACCTATCTACGAGAATTCCGTTGCATGTGATGAAGGGCTGGTAGACTTCCATCAAAGAGAGTCAAATTCAGGATTTCAGCCGTCAAGGTGGCCAACGACAAGATTGTTTGCCAGGCGCCAGAGTTATAACTGGGAGTCATTGTTCAGATAGAAGCCCAAGAAGTTGAGGTTGTGTAATTGACCATGCTATGAACATGTCTATTTCCTCGTAGTTCATACCATATCGAGCTGAGACACTACATAAAGGCCTTTGTTCACAACAACACGCTAGGCTAGGTCCCTTTTCAGATGGGATCTCCCATGGGTCGGCGTCAGCGCGACATGTTGGGTAGGTCCCAGCTGGACGCTTGAAAGCCCTAAAGGGGCGAACGGTGAAGCAATGCAGGCGGGTCGAACACGCAGCAAACCACACCGGAACACGCGAACACGCCGCCCAACGACGCCAAACGACCAAGGGTGGGTGGTTGGGGTGACCAAAGGAATGTGTGAAGCAGATTTGTACTGTTTGATGAACAATCGGGGTGTTGAACACCGACCATTTGGGTCTGGACGTATGGATGACCTTGCACAGAAGGTTTTGGCCGTGGTCGAAGACCGGTCGTTCAGGTCGTCAGTTGGTTGTTTTTCAGGTCGATGTGGACGGCGAACAGACCTGGACTCCTGTTTGGGTGGCCTTAGTGGACTAGATAGATGTCCCTTGGACGCCGGACCTGGGATGACCTGGGTACGTATTAACGTATTATAATGAAGATATCCGATCGATCATGAGCATGTATTTTGGGTCTGTCAGAACTTACCTGTAACAGTCCCTAGGGATCCAAGTACCTTCTCAGAAGGTACTTGGACCCTCCAAACCTACATAACAGTGCCTCCAATCACCTTCTGAGAAGGTACTTGGATCCCTAGGGAGTCAGGTTTCACAAGCACATCACTATTTTTGGGACAAGGCCTTAACACTAACACTAACCATCATGCATCCACCTGGGCCCAGCTAGACTCGGATAGACCCATGCAGCATCGTCAGATGTGGAGCATGCAGCATCGTCATCACGGAACCAATTCACCTTTACGGGGTGGGAACCTCACGGTGCGGAAGGGCCATTCAACTGACGGCTATCGAGAGTTGTTTGGGTTCAGCCACATGTTTCAGTATGTCATACGGGTCATACGTACCATAGATATGTCATATCTTGGCACTAAGTTGGATATCGTTCTCAATTGTCGGTCTCTAGACTCGAGTGGTGCAGAACTACTCTGGGCAACGCCTGCTGGTCTTGGTTGGCCCGGCGCAGCGCGTCGCCTGGCGCGTCTCGCGCGGCCGCAAGAGCCAGGCGTTGGGGGAAGCAGCTTTGGTTCGAGATGGACAAGGGGTCGGAGGCCTCGGACGGAGCAAGGAGGTCGCAAGGACGAGCTGACGGGATTTCATCGGGGTTCTGCAGTTTTTGCAAGGAGACATCAAAAGTGAAGGGTTTAAGTATGGTTTAACTATAATATGCGCACTGATCTGGTTTCAATG